CAGTACTCCACGAGAACCCTTCCGGCCAGCCTTCCCGATTTACTCCAACTCATTTGTCTCAGTTATCTAGTGCTGTAGTAACAGAAATACCGTAAGTGGGGGGCTTTAACCAACAGAAATTTATTTCTCACAGTTCAGGGGGCTGCAAGTCTGAATTCAGGGTGCCGGCTCAGGGGCAGGTTGGCTCTCTGTATCAGCTCTGGAAGAAGCTCCCTGTCTCTTCAGAGCTTCTGTGGGTCCCTATGTGCCTGCCATCTCTCGTCTCATCTGTTTGCCAGCTTGCATTTAATGTCTCTCATATCTCAAAGGAGATTGACTCAAGATACACCCTACACGAATCTTGTCTCATGGATATAATAAAGAAAACCCATTCCCAAATGGGATTGTAACAGGGGCACAGAGGTTAGGTTTTACAACACATTTTTGGGGGACACAACTCAGTCTGTAACATTACATCCATTGGCCCCTCAAAATTTATGCCCATCTCACATGCAAAACACATTTACCCCCTCACATCATCCCCAAAATCTTAAATCAACTCCAAGTCCAAAAATTTCATCTTCTGAATCATCTAAATCCAACATGGGTGAGACCTTCGGCATATCCCATCCTGGAGCACAATTCCTCTTCATCCATGAACGTGTGAAATCTAGACTGCAAGTTACCTGCTTCCAAAGTACAACGGTGGGGCAGGCACAAGGTAGACGTTTCCATTACAAATGGGAGAGACTGGAGGGGAAGAAGGGATAATGGGTACCAAGTCAGTCTAAAACCCAGCAAAACGCATTACACTAGCTCGCAAGACTTGAAATAATGCTTTGTTCTCCGAAACCATCTGGGCAACGGCTTTGCCCTGCAGACTCTGGGGATTGGCCACATCTTCTGGATTCTCAGCACTGGGGTTCAGTTCTGCCTTCCAGGCTCTCTGGGGTGGCAACTCTGCCCTCTCAGCTTTGGGTGGCCCAACTCTCCTAGTCCTTCTGAGTGGCCACCCCACCTCCTCAGCCCAGCAGGCCCCATTCTTCTGTCCCTTGGACATGACAGCCCACTCCTCACCTTTGGGCAGCAGCCTCATCCCCCCAGCACACTTAACAGCAGCCCCGCAATCCAGAACCAAGTTGGCAAAGATCCAAGTTTTTTTGAAACCTTGGAGGCTGTGGCCTCACCCTTTGAGATCCAGGAGACCATGTCCCCACCCTTTGAAACAAGGGAGGCCCTGCTTCCCATGCTCCTTCCCACAGTTCTGCTCATCTCCAAGCTGCTCCGGGGACAGCCCTTTTCTTTTCTTGGAGGACAAAAGATGTAGCTCTTTGGCCTGTTTCTTGCCTGTAGAATTCCAAGAGGCAAACACCTTTGTTCTTTGTCTCCTTCAGTCTGGCTGATGCATATTCTGCCGTGTTAGTCAGATCCATCAGTCACAGGTTTCATCTCTTTAACAAAAGATTGTGTAGCCACATCCTTGGTGAACATTCTAGGACATGTGTCTTTAGTTTACACAACAGCATTCTCCAAATCTTTTAAGTTCTGTTTTCATTTTCCACAGTTCATTTTTAAGTCTATCTCTTTCCTCTACCATTTTACTATACATGGCAAGGAGAGATGACTTGGCCCCTTGAAAACCCTGCTTAGAGATCAGCCAGGTATCCAAGTTCATCACTTACAAGTTCTACCTTCCACTAAACATTTGAACATAATTCAGACAAGTTCTTTGCCCATGCATAAAAAGCAGAACCCTTCTTCCAATGGCCAATCACATGTTCATCATTTTCTTTTATAACTTCACCAGAAGCACCCTTAACACTCACATTTCTAGCAAGATTCTGTTGCTGAGGCCAAATGTACTCTGTAAGATGATAGAGACTTTATAGCTCTCTTCCATTTCCTTCTGAGCTCTCATCAGAATTGCCTTTAATATTCATAATTCTACCAAAAGTCTCTTCAAGACAATCTGGGCTTTTACTACTAGGCACCTTAAAACTCTTCCAGCCTCCACTCATTTCCCAATTCCAAAACTACTTCCACATTTTAGGTGAGCAGCACCCCCACTTCTCGGTACCATATTCTCAGTTATCGAATGCTGCTATAACAGAAATACTACAAGTGGATGGCTTTAACAAACAGACACTTACTTCCTGGCAGTGTAGGAGGCTGCAAGTCTGAATTGAGGGCACCGGCTCTAGAAGGCTTCCTCTCTCTGTTGTCTCTGAAGGACAGTCATTGTCTCTTCTGGCTTCTGCTCCTCGGAGGCCTTCATGTGCTGGGCATCTCTCCTCCCATCTCTCCTTGCTAGCTTGCATTCAATCTCTTTTATATTTCAAAAGAGATTGACTCAGGATGTGCCCTGCACTGATCCTAACTCACTAACATAACAAAGGCAACCCATTTTCAAATGGAACATAACCATAGGCATAGAGGTTCGGATTTACAACTCATATTTGGGGGGACACAATTCAATCCCATAATCCTTCACATTTCAGCTCAAATGCCACTTCCTCAGGGGAAACATCTCCTAACCATAACCTCTTTGAGTAAGCTATTAACTCCTTCTTTGCAATCGCTACTCATAGTTGCAATTTTACATCTGGGCCCCTACTAAACTCCTTAAAAGCTGAGACTGTCTTTTCTGCTCACCAGTGCACCCCCCCAAAAATGTGCTCAGTGTCTTGCACATGTTAGACACTGACATTGAGCATTTATTGAATGAATAATGTAACTTACTTGTTTATACCCTACCTTGACCCAGTTAAGCTAATCATCACCCATCTTCTAGCCACTTCTCTTACAAGGATTCACATCATTGGTCTGTCTGCAGCCTTTCCTCCTCCAGAATATTCTCTATGTCAACAGTCAGAAGTATCCTTTTAACAGGCAAATACAACCCTTCATTACGTTCAATAAAGCTCAATTCCTTAACATTGCCTCTACCATGTGAACTGCTAGATACCTACCCATTGACTACTGCACTCCTGTTCTTCAGAACTTGATTCTACCAACACGAGCGTGTGCCCTCCTAGAAGACTTAACTTCCCGGCTCCTCCAGGAGCCAGTGTGCTCCCTCCCGAGAGGTCAGACAGGCAGTGTGGAAATCAGATGCGGTGGTAATTCTGAGACCTAAAAGGATTACTGTCCTCATAAACGTCTGAATTTCCTTCTAGAAAATTTTTGCCTCTATATCTACAAATGAAACACGTGTCATGTTACTAACTTCTAGCCAATAATATGGAAGTGGATGCTACTGGTCAGAACTTCCAAAAAAGCTAAGTAGAAGACAGCTTACTGCGCCCGAAGACCGGGCCATCTACTGTAAAGATTACCGCCTCGGAGACCTGAAGGGGGTCACCAATGAGGCAGAATCAACTTGGTGGCAGGGAGCTTGGTGTTTTGTTTTTTTTTGTTGTTGTTGTTAATCTCTTCTTCTGCTTTCTGCCAGGTTCAAGGACACAATGGCCGGGGCTCCAAAAGCCATCCTAGACATGCGGTACCCATGATGGCAGCTATGTGCTCTGGGTGGCTGAGCAATGTAAGCCCAATTACTATGGAGCTGCCATACCACCCTGACTTGCTATTGTCAGACTTCACATGCGAACATACGTGTACCTTAAGTCATTGTTATCTCCAGTCCCTTAAGCTAGCAATCAAATTGAACTCCAATACAGGCCTCAGAGCATCTCATGACCTTCCCTTTGTCACTCTTCCATCTCCCTTCATCTCTTACTAACCCACTGCCATCAAGTTGATTTTGACTCATAGAGATCTGGCAGGTCAGAGGAGAACTGCCCTATAGGGTTTCCAAGGAGCTCTGGTGGCATAGTGCCCAAGGCATGTGACTGCTAACTAGAAGGCTGGCAGTTCAAACCTACCAGCCACTCCTTGGAAGGAAGGTTGGGCAATCTACTTCCATAGTGATACCACCTCAGAAACCCAAGGTGGGGTCGCTATGAGTTGGATCCGATTCGACAGCAGTACATATAGGGTTTCTAAGGCTACAAATGTTTATGGAAGCTGATTACCTCATCTTTCTCCCTTGGAGCTGCAGATGGGTTCAAACTGCCAACCTTCTGGTTAGCAGCTGAACGCTTCACCACCGAGCCACCTAGTGTCCTCAAAATTCCCCACATCAGCTGTGCTAAACACCCTGCAGTTCTCCTCAGCACTCTGTCTTCTCCATTTAGTCTTCTGACAAACTGCTCTTTCTACCTGAACTATGGCCCCTGACTAAGTCCTACTCATTCTTCAGATCTTAGCTTCAAAATCAGCTCTTCAATGACCATGCAGCTGCAGTTCAGCCCCTACTCTCTGGTGCCAGGGGAGTCCCTTGTCACACTACAATTATAGTCATGAATTATGGTACTTACTTGATTTTTTCCTCCACAGACAGTAAACCCCAGGAGTGCAGCAATACAGCCCATCTTGTTCAAAACCGTATTCCCAATGCCTTGCACACAGCAGGCATTCAATAAATAGTTCTTGAGTAAATGGAGTAATGAGTGATGGGACATGGTATTGGTTAGAGCACAATGTGAACAATGAAGTGGAGGGGTTGGTGTTATTATTTGTTTATTACTTATCCCATGCCCTGTTCCCAGAAGGATGTCAGGAGGCAGGATGACTGGTGTACCACCTCACTGGGAGTGCTAAGTTCACGTCCACTTAGGGACAATGCTTTAGGCGAGGCTATTAGCAGACTGTGGGATGGTTTGAGGGAGGGAGGAGTGCTAGGAAAAGCAGTGACATCTTGTCCTATTTCATCATTCATGTCCTCGTTTGCAAGCCCTACCTCAGGAATAACTGGTGAGAGGGTTACTGCAGGAAAAGGTTAGCAGTAAAGCAGGAGAGGATTAGTCTCCAAAAGGGTACACCAGCCCACCACCTCTCCCTCCCGTGGGTGCCTACTCTAAGTACATAGTCTGGTCTTCTCCTCAAGGGCTCCAGCTGGGCTTAGGTTCCCAACGTGGAGAACGCTCAGCTCCACCAGTCAGTCTGTAGGCTGGGGCCCACTGCTAGCTGCAGGCCCCAGGCTCTGCCCCTCCATCACCCCCATCGTCCTCCTCATCGGACTGTGCCAAGGGTGTATCTGCGCCACCGTCACTCGCATTTGGGCTGTGCAGGTTGGTGGAAGAGTCAGAGGACGAGGATGAGGTTCGTGACGTGGTCCTATCAGACGTAGGCACCAGCAGGCTCAGCTCATCTGGATGGTCATCCACTCCTGCCCAGAGAGAATAGATGGTCAGGGCCACAGACAGGGTTTAAGAGAGAAGGGTAACTCAGAGGACTAGCAGAGATTATCTGGCCACCCTCCTCTCTAGATGGGAAAACAGAGCCCCAGGGAGGGGCAGGGACTTGACTGAAGTCTTAGCCAGTCCAGCAAAGAGCCAGCATTAAGACTTCAGTCTCCTAACGCCCAGTTTCTTTCACTTCATTACACCATGTCTGGGCTCTGAGGTTAAGCAATCAATCGAACAGTTCAAGTTCAACCTACATCACTTAATTCGTGCTAAATAGCTTTGGGAAAGTCACTTTCCCTCTCAGGGACTCTGCTCCTCTCTATAAAAAAAGAGATACCCATATTCCAGAAGGGTTATGAGGATGAAATTTAAGGAGTCTATAAAATGTCTGGCACACAGTAGGCCATCAACAAAGAGCAGCAGTTTTAAATAAGAGAGAATATTGATCTTACAAGTTAAGCATAGGGTTTTGGAAGATTCTACAGACATGGTTTGGATCGCTGCTTTTTCAATTTCCGGCTCCGTGACTTAACTTCTCTGAGCCTAATTACCTTCTTTACAAAGCAGAGATAAAACCACCTACTCTGATAGGATGCTGTGAGAAGCGAGATAACTTAAGTACTGTACCATAGTACCAGGAACCTAGTAAATATTCAGTAAATATAATTATTATGACTAGAACTGCATTTTTACATTATTTGAATTGCACTAAAAATTTAATTACGTAATTTTACAAGTGTAAAATTAACAAAGGCAGTCACTGGACAGCCCTAGATTTTTAGATAGGGGTTCTATAACCCAGTTCCCCTGTGGGCCCACTTCCCTAAAATCTGAGCAGGCAGCTGTTTGGTTGATAGAGTCACCCCACTTCCAGCCTGCTTGTACACTTCCTCCGCTCAGCCTCACACCTCACTTCAGAGCCCCTGCCATCCGACTCTGGCTAACTGGTGTCCACTTCTCTAAGGCAGAAGGCATACCAGCCGTCTGGGGGGTTGGTGGAGGATCTTCACAAGGCAAAAACACATCTGCTCCGTCCTGATCCCCAAGGTCAATAAGTTCCACTTGTTCCAGCGTGTCCACATTCACTTCCATGGAAGATATACTACCTATGGGAGCTACGGATCAAGAAGGGGGCCAGTCAGGAGGCCCCAAGGCCACTGGATAATCAATATACCTGTCCGGTTCCAAGACAGAAATTTAGAGGGTCTAGAACACAAGGGGGGCCCTCCCCCCCAAATTCAGTGTCCATAGGCTTCTTCTCTACTCCACCCCAGGCCCAGTCCTACCCTCTCCCCAGGATTTGGGACTTACGTCTCCGTGACTCAAGATGCAAGTGGGACAAGGGGAAGACGAACTCTGTCTCTGGCTGTAAAATATCCTCGAAAAATTTCTGCCGCTCCCGAAGGCGGAGCTGCTGGCGCTCCAGGGCTGCCCGGGGATTTGGGTCCATGTCAGCTCCTGAAGGGTGGAAAAGTAGGACACACACCGCTGTGAAGTCGAAAGGGAGTACAACGGGGGCCCGGGCTTGGGGAGCCCCACTTCAGACAGCATCCCAGCAGAGTTTTCTTGACTGCCCTGGTTCCAACCTGGACAGCTCTGGGCTCAGCTACCTCCTTGTCCTTCCCTGAAACCAAGCTCATCCCGGAACTTCATGTTGCAGGCAGAGGCGGGGCGGCCCTATCTCCACAAAGGGGATGCCAGTTCCAGGCACTGTGAAGAGGCTCCTCTGTACTCAGTGAAGGCAATCAGTGGCAGAGTCCCACTATTGTGCCCTTCTGACAGGGGTCCAGGGGCTGGCCCAGTCCCAAACTGGGGAGGCATTTTCTCCACTTGACAGACCCAGACCCAGGCCAGGGAAGAGGGAATGGAGATGTCTGAGGGCGTGCTGTCTTCCTCTCCTGCAACTCTGGTCCCAGCTTAAGTGTCAAAGCCCCAAGGCTAAAAAGCAGGCCCTGTCCTCCCTCCCTTCACATATAACCCTGGTAGCCCTTGCTCTGAAGTCACAAGACATAACGTCCAGCCTTGGCTCTGCCCCTGGAGAAACCCTTTCTAGCCTCAGTCTCCTGGTCCGAAAATGGCATAATCATCCTACCTGCCTCTGACACAAGGCACTGCTGGTGCATGCGCACCTGCCACTCAGTGGCCAACTCCCTGGTGGCCAGCTCCCACGGCTCTTTACCTGCCTCCTCTTTAACACAGCTAGCTCTGTGTCATCTACGAGTCAGCCCTAGCAATTGGAAGGGCAGGTTCTGGGTCCAATTCAGAACAGGCCTCCTGGGCCCGGTGCTGAGAGCCTTCCAGAATACCAGAGCTCGGGGCCAGCCCAGGCCCTATGCATTCACCCCCATTAATTCCATCTCCTTCTTGGGTTCTGCTCAGAGCGGGTCACTCGCGGCGGCAGCGAGTTTCTAGCGTGAGGACCAGATCTACATCCTCAGCAGGCTACCTCCTCCAGCCTTCATCCGGGCTCCAGGGTCTGAGACCCAGGCCAGCTCCACAGGCACTCGGGCAGGCCAGGCAGGGCCAAGGAAGTGTGGGGAGGCCGTGTGGCCACACGCTGGCCGAGCTGCGGAGAAGGCAGTGACGCTGATTCCTGGGAACCCAGAGCTGCCGCCCAGGTCACCACGCTAAAAATACCCAGGCCCCTGGGGCGCCCTCGCGGCGGGGCGGGGTGGGGGAGGGGGCCAGGGGAGGCGGACTGCGGGGAGCTCCACCGCTCCAGGACGCCCCCTCTTCCTCCCCTGCCCTCACCCTCGGGACTCCCGAGATCCGGGGGGCTGCTCCGGGGGGCAGCGGAGCCGAGTGCTGGAGGAGGGGGAGTTGTTTACGACCTAAGGTG